CTTGTGGTCCTAATGACTATCAAAGAACATTTTCCAGATATGAGTGCTTGACATGTCATGTTTATCAAAAGCATAAACACATATTGTGTTACAACAAATTACAACTCCACTTGAGGAGTAATCTACTGATGTTGAGGAAGAGGCTACTGATGTTTTTGGTTTTCTGCACTGTTGAAGCAATTTATAGAGAAACATTGCCTTCATTCTGAAATTCAGAAAAAATGTTGATGACAAATTATTTATTATGACCGAGTATTCTGACTAAAGACAAACACTTTGGACTTTATAAAGTGCAGTACTTGTAGCCTGTGTAATGTGTTTATAAATCTTAAACAGTATTCTTGTGGTCTTTTTATTAAGTGTAGATTATTTAGTTTTTATTTGTTATCTAAATTGTTCTTTTTACTGTTTTACATGTCTGCTTTATACTTGCTGTGTAATTTTATTTCTTAACACATTCAGTTGTGAGTTGTAATGAAATATTTCTACATTAATAAATAAAAATGGACATCTGCGAACCAAAATATTTTATTTATTTATTTGTGCATGCAGTCACCAAAAGGTCAAAATGCCTGGGTCAGTACCCTGAAAATACTATATAATATAAAAAGGTACATTTTTGTACCTTCAGTGTCTAGGGTACAAAATTGTCCCTTAAAGGGTACAAATGTAGAAGGTACAATTTTGTACCTTTAAAATGAGGTACAAATTTGTACCCTTAAGGGTACCACCCCAGTGACGGGCCATTTGTACCCTAAAAGGTACAATTTTGTACCTTTTTTTCTGAGAGTGCACTAGTGGTACACGTACCACAGTTTGAGAACCACTGCAATAATACATACAGTACACAATGCATTTTTGTCAAACATCATTTTATTACATGTTACACTGAAAACAAAATGGTACATTTAGTTTGGTAAACAAATCTATTTGTTAATAACAATAAACAAATAACATAATAAAAAGTGCTTGCTGTATGGCAGCCATTCTCAATCAAAACCACCTCATTTGTAGGAAAATACTGAGAACATTTTCTACATTAATGTAAAAAATTGTAACGACTGGGTGGAGTGACAGGAGACTACAGGAGGTAAGATCCAATATGCAGTTTATTCAATGTCAGGCAAGCAGTGGTCATCAGGTGCAAACGGGTATCTATAGACAATCCAGAATCGTAGTCGTTATAAACATGCAAAAGGTTGAGACGCAGGCAGCTAAACAGGATAACTAGGATACAAGGCTAGGGTCAAAACACAGAGAAACAAGACAGGGAGAAACGCTTCGTAATGTCACACTGGGAAGACAAGACTCGGCCAACTGGCAGCATCAATGAGTGGCTTATGAATGGAGTGATATCAGTCTGTGACAAGGATCAGCTGGTGCTTGCAATCAGGATAGATGAATGAGCAGGCGTGCGTGTCTGGGAGCAGTGCATGTATGAATGTGTAGTCCTGGGGAATGCGGAAGTCCTGAGAGTTCGTGTGAGAACCAGCGATCTCTGGAAAGCGATCGCTGGTTGTGACAAAAATTAAGCAAACAAATATAAATATTTATATACAGTATTATATAGTCTTTTAATTACTAAATTTAATAATTAATTACACTACATCATCAAGGCTGTAAAAGGGACCTCATGAAATGGAAAAACACAGTGCATAGCCATAGCTAACATAACTAGCTTAGCCTCGGCTTACCACTTAACAAGGTCACTGTTGTTCTTCCACCCCGCTTAAATGTTGCCTGATCATTGCTGTTAAATTTTACAATGCAAATAAACAAATAATCAATTTTAAATAGCAATGGGTGGTTAAAAATAAGTGTATATTCCTATATGTATATCGTATGGCAAAAATTAGGTTCCTGAACAAGCTTGAACAGCATGTGTCTTTCTAAAAGAGCTTATTTTAGACATTAAAAATGATAAACTGTTAATGCTTACCTCTTAACATGCTCACTGTTGGTCTGCTTCTTCAAAATGTCATCTGATTACTGTTGATGTTGAGATTCAAATGCAAATATCTCAATCAAATCTGCATTGAGTGAATTGTCTTAAAATTAACATGAAGCCATCTTTGCTCTGTTTTGTTAGCTTAATTAGTTTCTCAAATTAAGCCTAATAATTGCGCTGGTTTGCTTAAAAAATAAGTCAAATTCATTTTTTGATTTTATTAGCAAATTCTTCTCAATATTTAATAATAAATTCAGAATATATATATTTTTTAAAGAAAATATTCATATTATTTATTAATGAACACATTCATTCATTTATTTTCTTGTCTGCTCAGTCCCTTTATTAATCCGGGGTCACCACAGCGGAATGCACCGCCAACTTATCCAACAAGTTTTTACGCAGTGGATGCCCTTCCAGCCGCAACCCATCTCTGGGAGACATCCACACACACTTTCACACACACACTCATACACTACGGACATTTTAGTATAACCAATTCACCTGTACCGCATGTCTTTGGACTGTGGGGGAAACCCAGGCGAACGCAGGGAGAACATGCAAACTCCACACAGAAACGTCAAGTGAGCCGAGGCTCGAGGCTCGAACAACCTTCTTGCTGTGAGGCGACAGCACTACCTACTGCGCCACTGCCTTGCCTTAATGACCACATCATTTTTTTAAATAAAGATTTCAAGCCTAAATATTAATTTTTACAGTGTATATAATGTATAGGTAATCAACTGAAAATAAAAGATTTTCAGGATAGTTTTTTATTTAAACACAAAGAATTCAGATGAAAAAAGAATCAAAGCAAATACAAATTACAAAATTAAAATACCAATTAAACACAGCAAGTATAGGAACCTAAACCTTACGAGCATTAGATATAAAAAACTTAATTTATTTAATTTGTAGAAATTAAAATTAATTACAAGCTGTTATTTGACTGTGAAGACAACATTCATAAACCCATAAACCATTTATTGCACTACAACAAATCAGTTTATTATGCCGTGTGATCAGTTAACGCTTAAAACATTTGCATTTTTACCTTTTTAAAATTTTTTTTATGTCTTTATTGTTATTATTATTATTTATCTATGGATGGATACATTTTTTAGAGGATTCAAAAAGACTGATGTCTTTACAAATTTGCACATCAAAACTACCAAAACATTTAATAAATATGTAAATTGAACTAAATTTGAAGATGAATGACTGAGAGATTTTCAGATGTTTGCATGTATGTAATGTCAGCATTATTGGCGCTTCTGTATACTTTTCCCCAATTTCTGTTTATTAACGGGGAAATTTTTTCTAAACATTTCTAATCATAATAGTTTTAACCCTTGTGTGGTGTTCGGGTCTGTGAGACCCGTTTTCAGTTTTTTTTCAAAAGAAAAATTAAACAATGAATTATTTTTTCAACCTGAAATTCACTGGCTTTGGCTTAATTTCTGTGAAGAACATACATCCAAACAAGTTTTCAATGATCGTATAATGTTTCTCCCCCCACACATTTACATTACATACAAGGTTTTCGGTCCACTAGACCCAGGTCTAATAAAAGTCTTGAAAGTGTAGGTGCAGTGTTCCTACTCTCTTCCTTTCTGGTCTTCTTCATTTCTGGTGCTGCTGTTTTCTTCTCCTCCCCCTCCTGCTCCCACACAAAGTTGCAACATTGTTGCAAATTCAACTATCAACACTGTCTGCTCTTACATTCCCGCACATTTTACCCTCTCCCCTGCGGGAACCAAGCTTTATTTACTTATACCCTGTCCCATCTGTGAATTAGGGACTATAATACTATAAATAAGACTTTGCCAGTGTGGTTCCTTATCACACCTGATCAAGATGGGCAAAAGATTATCTGCTGCGAGGGCCTTGCAATTGACTGTGGAAGAGACAGGAGCTTCTGATGATGATGTCCATGACCATGGTGGGAACAATGCAAAAAAAAAACAAATCTGTGGGTTTTATTTTTTTCCATAACATTAATAGGAATAATAATAATAATTAAAAAAAAAATTTGCTGTTCATATGGCTAGAAATTGGAATTGAATAAACATTTGTCGAGTAATTTAACATAAAAGTGTTTGATAGTGTTAATTTGGAAAAACTCTAGTGGGTCCACCAGACCCATGAACACTGGCTGAGTTACAAAAATACAAACACCACACAAGGGTTAATAACTCATTTCTTTTTTTTTTTTTTTAATTATTACTAATTACAGGACAGTAAAGATTTACAGACAGGAAATTATGTGATGTTTTGTAAACAAATTTCGGGAGGAGCATGCGCAGAAGTTTCAGTATCGAATACGTCATTGACAATTATCCCATCATCAAATCAGTTTCTGAGCAACGCCTATATATACCAAAGCTGTCTTACCTGCAGCATCTCATGACTTTAGCATCCCTCCACCACCCCGTCACCTCACCTCTTGCATTACATTCCCGGGGGGAGCGTTCTGGGGCCGGGCTAGATACTGCGCTCGAATCCCAACTCCTCTTTGTTTCCTTATAAGGGGAATAACTCTAGTTGGGGTGTCTCCTCGACCTCAGAGCCCTCCCCCCGGACAGCACGCCAAATATGCTTTATACTTAAACGAATGCAAGTGTGAACTTGTGAAGGGGAGCAGAGAGTGGAGATGGATAGGCAAAGGACCTAGAGCCGGGAATCAAACTCTGGTCGCTGCGAGCTCCTAGGTGCTATATGTCGACGCACTTACCACTTGGCTATTGGCTTCGATAACTCATTTCCAATAACTGAAGATACTAGTAATCAGCTTAAAGTGACATATAAAGGCATAACTAGGTTAATTGGGTAAGTTGGGTAACCCTAATAAGGCAAGTCATTGTTTAACAGTGGTTTGTTATTGTAGCTAATATTATTTAAGGGGCTAATAATATCGACCTTAAAATAGGTTAAAAAAATAAATAAATAAAGCTGCTTTTATTATAGCTAAAATAAAGCAAATAAGACCTTCTCCAGATGAAGAAATATTATAGGAAATACTGTGAAAAATTCCTGAACCTGTTAAACATTATTTGGGAAATATTTGAAAGAGAAAAAACACTTCACGATAGGACTAATAATTCTGACATCAACTGTATGTGGATTTAAATACGGTGTTAAATGCACTACGGTTTAGCTGATGCAGAGTGGTGCTGAAAAAATACTGAAAAAGTGACCAATGTATTTACAGATCCAATTACTAATAATAATAACACCAAAAACATGAATAATAATAATGATAAAAAACTGTTGAGCTAAACATTTAATGAGATGCTGCAGTGGCTTCTTTCTTCGCTTGTTCCTTCTGGATTTTAGGCTTCGTAGCATTTGTTTCAGCTGGAGGGACTTCTTTCTTTGTTTGTTCCTTCTGGATTTTAGGCTTCGTAGCATCTGTGTCAGCTGGAGCAGCTTCTTTTTTTGCTTGTTCTTTCTGGATTTTAGGCTTCGCAGCATTTGTTTCAGCTGGAGTGGGCTCTTTCTTCGTTTGTTCCTTCTGGATTTTAGGCTTCGTAGTATTTGTTCCAGCTGGAGCAGCTTCCTTCTTTGTTTGTTCCTTCTGGATTTTAGGCTTCGTAGCATTTGTTTCAGCTGGAGCAGCTTCTTTCTTTGTTTGTTCCTTCTGGATTTTGGGCTTCATAGCATTTGTGTCAGCTGGAGCAGATTCCTTCTTTGTTTGTTCCTTCTTGATTTTAGGCTTCATAGGATTTGTGTCAGATGGAGTGGCTTCTTTCTTTGTTTGCTCCTTCTGGATTTTAGGCTTCGTAGCATCTGTGTCAGCTGGAGTGGCTTCTTTTTTTGCTTGTTCTTTCTGGAGTTTAGGCTTCGTAACATTTGTTTCAGCTGGAGCAGCTTCCTTCTTTGTTTGTTCCTTCTGGATTTTGGGCTTCATAGGATTTGTGTCAGCTGGAGTGGGCTCTTTCTTTGTTTGTTTCTTCTGGATTTTAGGCTTCGTAATATTTGTTTCAGCTGCATCGGCTTCTTTCTTTGCTTGTTCCTTCTGAATTTTAGGCTTCGTATCATTTGTGTCCGCTGGAGCGGCTTCTTTCTTTGTTTGTTTCCTTTGGATTAAAAGTGTCGTAACATTTGTGTCAGCTGCATCGTCTTCTTTCGTTGTTTGTTTCCTTTGGATTTTAAGTGTCGTAACATTTGTGTCAGCTGCATCGTCTTCTTTTTTTGTTTGTTTCTTCTGGATTTTAGGCTTCGTATCATTTGTGTCAGCTGCATCGTCTTCTTTCGTTGTTTGTTTCCTTTGGATTTTAAGTGTCGTAACATCTGTGTCAGCTGCATCGTCTTCTTTCTTTGTTTGTTTCCTTTGGATTTTAAGTGTCGTATCATTTGTGTCAGCTGCATCGTCTTCTTTCTTTGTTTGTTTCCTTTGGATTTTAAGTGTCGTAACATCTGTGTCAGCTGCATCGTCTTCTTTTTTTGTTTGTTTCTTCTGGATTTTAGGCTTCGTAACATTTGCGTCAGTGGCATCGGCTTCTTTCTTTGTTTGTTTCTTCTGGATTTTAGGCTTCGTATCAGTTGTGTCAGCTGCATCATCTTCTTTTTTTGTTTGCCTCTTCTGGATTCTAGGCTTCCTAGCATTTGTGTCAGCTTCAGCAGCTTCTTTCTCTGTTTGATTCTTCATAATTTTAGACATCATAACATTTGCGTCAGCTGCAGTGACTTCTTTCTCTGTTTGATTCTTCTGAATTTTAGACATCATAACATTTGCGTTAGCTGCAGCGGCTTCTTTCTCTGTTTGATTCATCTGGGTTTTAGACACGGTACCATTTTTGTCAGCTGCTGCAGCTTCTTTCTCTGTTTGATTCATCTGGGTTTTAGACATCATAACATTTGCGTCAGCTACAGAGACTTCTTTTTCTGTTTGATTCTTCTGGGTTTTAGTCATCGTAGCATTTGCGTCAGCTGCTGCAGCTTCTTTCTCTGTTTGATTCTTCTGGGTTTTAGTCATCGTAGCATTTGCGTCAGCTGCAGCAACTCCTTTCTCGGTTTGATTCTTCTGAATATTAGCAGCTTTTTCATTCCCATTCTCCTTCATGTTTAGGGTCTCCTTTGGCATTTTATCCTGCACCTGCTTATCTTTAAAAAGATTAGGTTAATTTGATGGGAATATGATGTTATGTAGTTATCTTGGTACAAAGTGCATGGAGGAGACAGCGAGCCTCATTTACAAAGAAAAGAAAACTACTGAAATGAATATTTAGTAACCTAAAGTGAAAAGTGAATCATCATCTATGGGTTTAGCTCACCTGGATGTTTGGACTTCGACATGTGTCTAGGAGAGACGCAAATGCTAGATGACCAATTACTCTGAAGATTAATTTAACCAGACAATCAGCATAGGCATTTATTGGCCTGTTTTCTTAGTGATTGGTCTTCTAACTTACGCCCAATTGTGTCTCTCTAAGGTACAAGTCAAAGTTCCTGACCCGAAAGGAATCAATAAAAGTACTGTAAATGTCATTAACAGTCAAGGGCGGGGCAATTTCGGTGTGACTGGATGGATGTTTTATGCTAATAAGGTAATGTTTGTTAACAATCATGGGTACTGCCTATGCAAAGTGACTCACTCAGGCTAGGTTTACGCTAATCAAGTGGTCTTTGTGACAATCCTGGGTGTAGCCTCTGTAAAGTGACCCATTCAAGGCATATCAAACATCCGTTGCAAATTAAAATGCTACAATATTGAAATAAAAGAATGGTACAGCGGTAGAGCGACTATCAAACACTTCTTAGAGCTCGCCAGGCCTGAACTGACCTTCAATACATGTGTGCTTATATCGCAAAGGTAAAATAACCACAGAACAATTGCTCTTAAAGGTTACATTTAAACACAAAGCATATCAAACATTAAGCGACCGTTACAATATCACAATAATTACCCTCGAAAAAAGCAGCGCAATCACTACCAGACTGCTGTTGTGTTTGCGATAAAGAGGGACAAGGCTGAATCCAACTTCTTATTAGCAGCTTCTTATTGACTCTATCCTGTCCACCTTAAAAACCATGTTTTCAGCTTCGCACTCAAAAAAAACAAAAAAAAAAAACAACAGTTTTATTCTAAGCAAGGGCTTATTATGCGGTCCTGGCGCCATCTTGTGGATAGACAACGTCAACTGTCTTTGGTCTACTAAACTATGGCAGGCTAATGGCCGCCGACGAGCTTTCTCAGAAATAGTAAATATTTTAAAATAGGCATTGTTCTTATAAATAAACTGCACAGTTGCAATCTAAACAACTACATTCTCGACTAAAAAAAGCCTCAAAAGTAAATTTTATTGTCTAACAGCAGTAATATTTGTAAAACTGTAGTGTCTCTCTGCTTGTTGCTGGCTGTATGTGGGCGGAGTAATACACAGGGGTGAAGGGTGAAGCGGCCTTTGTGTGATGTTACTGGCAAAATATTGCATGGCTATCAGCCAATCAGATTCAAGAACCAGACAGAACTGTTTGTATGTATGTATATATATATAAATATATATATATATATATATATATATATATATATATATTGTAAATAATATATATATGTATTATGTAAATATAATATA